TAATGATTGTTGTTATTGAAATGTTGCCTTGTCGGCATAATGAATGTTGTTATTGCCTTATCGAAATCATGAATTATTTATGTTGCCTTGCCGGCTTACTAAATTATATTTTGATTGTCGCTAGAGCAATATCATTTATGATTGATTTTTTTTACTCTATTTTTTTCAATTTTAAGAAATTGAAAATGGAAGGTCAACCACCTCTCAAGAAGAAGAAGAACTTGTTTTCTTTCTTTCAAAGGAAAGATCGACCTACAGAAAGTATAACTTCTGATGGACTAACTCAAGATCAGCCTTCATTTCCACCAGAAATCGAACAACATTCATCTTCAAATATTAGCATTGAACAGGAACCAGGAAAAAGAAAGCAAATACTTGAATTTCCTTGTAATTTGCGAGATGAGATTAGAGTGGCATATCTAAAGGCTGGGGCCTTATCAACCAAAACTTGTTGAGTATCCAAAGACACAAGGAAAATCTCAGTCTCGTCTCTTTCAGGCAAAATGGTTCAACTAGTTCCCGTGGCTAGAGTATTCACCTATAAAAGATAGGGCATATTGTTTTTATTGTTATCTTTTTCGGAATGATGGGAATCCGTCCAATTGTTCGGCACTGGTAACTTCTGGATATAACCAATGGAAAAGGGTCAATGATGGATTGAAATGTGTGTTTCTTACGCATTTGCGATCATCGGATCATAATATGTGTGAAAGAAGAGCTAAAGATTTAATGATGCCGTCTCAACATATTGATAAAGTGATGCATACCATATCAAATTCTGAAGTTGAGAAACGTCGTTTACGTTTAAAGACTTCAGTTCGAAGTGCTCGATGGCTAGCATTTCAAAGTTGTTCCTTCAGAGGTCATGATGAATCTACATCGTCATTAAATCGTGGAAATTTTCTTGAAATGATAAAAATTTTGGCAGAAACGAATACAGAGATTGATCAAGTTGTTTTGAAGAATGCTCCAAAAAATGCCCAATACATTGCTCCGAGTATTCAAAAAGAAATCTTGCACATAATGACAAATAGAGTAAGAAGGATGATTCGAGAAGACATTGGGGATAGATACTTTTGTATTCTTGTTGATGAAGCACAAGATGCATCTAAGAGAGAACAAATGGCTATTATTTTGAGGTTTGTGAATCGTGAGGGTATTTTGACGGAACGCTACTTTGATATCAAAAGCGTCAGTGACACTACATCATCAAATCTTAAAAATGAGATTTTAAAAGTTCTTGCTCAACATGAACTTGAGGTGGGAAAAATGAGAGGCCAGGGATATGGTGGTGCTAGTAATATGCGGGGCACTTGGAATGGACTTCAAGCATTATTTCTTAGAGACTGCCCGTATGCGTATTATGTTCATTGTTTTGCTCATCGATTGCAATTGGTATTGGTTTATGCAGCTAAAGAAGTTGACGTTATTTGGGAGTTCTTTTCTCATTTGGACAATATTGTGAACATTATCACTTCTTCCCCTAAGCGCATTACAGAGTTACAATCTGCTCAGAGAAATGAAATTGAGCATATGTTAGCTACTGGGGAGTGTGAGTTGGGAAGAGGAGCAAATCAAGTGGGTAATTTACAACGATCGGGGAGCAACTCGTTGGAGTTCTCATAATGACTCTATAAAGAGCTTGATAGATATGTACAATGCAACTTGTAAGGTGTTTGAAAATCTTAATGTCCATTGTCCAAATGGAAGATCTCGAGGTGAAGTTCGTGGCACTTACAAACATTTGAAAAGTTTTGATTTTGTGTTCAGTTTGCATTTAATGCATAACATCATGAGAATAACCGATGCTCTTTGTCAGACTCTACAAAGGAAATCCTTAGATATCTTGGCTGCTATGAGATTTGTTTCTACTACAACAACGCTCCTTAAAAAATTGAGAGATGATGATTGGGAAGAATTTCTTCAGGAAGTGAAATTTTTTTGCTCGAAACATGATATTGAGATACCCGACTTGGAAAGTTTGTATAAGGTTGGTCCTTGTCATTCTCGTAACCAAATTACAACGGAGCATCATTATCATTTTGATGTTTTCAATAAAGCAATAGATTTTGTACTAATGGAATTAAACACAAGATTTAATGAGACATCAGTTGAACTTCTCATACTCAGTGCAGCTTTGGATCCTAGAAATTCATTTGAATCATTTAGCATTGGTGATATTTGTACACTTGCTGAAAAATTCTATCCTGCAGATTTTTCGACGCAGGATATTCGTACTTTGGAATATGAGTTGCGACATTTTGAGCTAGATATGAAGAGCAACTCTCGATTTCAAGTATCTACACTTGTTGAGTTATGTCGACAGTTAACTGAGAGTAGCAGGTCAGAGACTTATATTATGGTTACTCGATTGATTCGTCTTGTACTGACTTTACCTGTTTCTACTGCGACGACTGAGCGAGCATTTTCAGCAATGAAACACGTGAAGACGGATCTTCATAACAGAATGGAGGATGACTTTCTCGGTGATTGTATGACACTCTTCATCGAACGAGAACTTGCTCAAAACATAGATATAGATTCTGTTATAGATGAATTTTATGTTTCAAAACCTCGTCGGGAACAACTTCAAATTAAATAAATTTGAATTTAATTTATATATGAATTTATTATATCGACTTTTAAATTTTAGCCCGTGCGCGAAAAATTCCTGGATCCGCCCCTGCTTGCACTCTTAATTGTAACATATAGATATTAAGCTTGAGTTCTCAATAAACTATTTTTTGTTCTTTTTCTCTCTACTTTATAACAGTTTTCATATTTATCCTCATTAATTTTTCTTTCCATCAGCTTACAACTACATTTCAAGAAAACTAGAAATTTAAAAATATATGTTTATTTTGTGTAGACCCGAACTTCTGCCGGAAATTATGTGAACTACTAATGGGCTGAATACTGAACAAGATTATGAGTTATTTTGACACAAATAGTAGTAAATGTAGCCACAAATTCTTCGTAGCAGTTTTTTCACTTCCTATTCTATACACTCGAAGTAGCCTCGAAATTTCTCTCCTCTCTCTCTTTCCTTTTGCATACTTCTCAACTTTGTCCTTTTCTTTCGAAAAAGAATTATGTTATGAGTACGGACAAATTTACTAGAAGATGTTTATAGATAACACTTGGAATGCATTCATTGGAAGATGAAAACGTAAAAACAAAACGGGCAAATAACGTTTCGCTACATCATCGTGGGTAAAAAATCCGTCAAAAATTTTCTGTACTTGAGACTTTTCCTTCAAAACTAGTGGATAGAATAGTATGAACCCTCCATCACTCTAGAGAGAAAGATTGTTACTGTGCACGTAATAACTTTTGACCGATAATTTCCGAAAATAAATAAATTTATCCTATTTTTATCAATTTAAATTCTAGACAAAATTGTTCAAAATTAGTTGATCTTAATTAAGCTATATAAACAAAGTATTAACCTGCAGTATATAAACACAAAAAGGGAAATTAATTAAAAGGGACAAAATTAGCAAGTAATTATTAATTAACACCAGACTCTTCAGTTAAGACAACCTTTGTATCGGGATATCACTGCGGCGATGATTAGCTTACATCTTTAACTCAAACGCAACACGTTTTCTATTTCATACAAGTGAATCGATCTCGTGCACCGGAGAACACGACAGAGTTAAATACATAGGCGAAGCATAGGGTGTTGAAAACCCTTCGGCGACTCTTCAGCCGCTGTAAACACTCCTGCAAGCTCACCTTTACTTTGTTATTATTGTTAGTAGAATTAGTTATTAGTTATTTATCTTATTGTTAAAGGGTAGTTTAGTCCTTTTGCTATGTTACTATTTATACCTTGTAATTGCTCATTCTCTTTAATTTCAATTGAACCATCACCGAGTTTGATCCTTTGTTTGGAACCCTAGCTTCCATGGTTTCTTTCTTCCTCATCTTGCTATCACA